TTTTTAAATGTTGTGTTTCATTTTTACATTGTGGTCTTTTCTTAGGATGCCTTCAGCCACCCACTGCTTTCCATCATCCAGACCTTCAGCATGATGCTTGGAGATATCAATTATCGGGATTCCTTTCTAGAACCCTTCTTGAGGGATGAGTTGGCATATCCACTCCTGTCCTTTATACAACTTATTACATTCACATTGTTTGTTCCAATTGTCCTCATGAACTTACTGGTAAGTACTTCCCCCTTGTATTTCCTGCATGGTTGTTCTACGGGGGCATCTAATTGTAATGACTCACAGTTTCCTTCATCTCCTATCTTGGGGAGAAGGAGGATGGCTCATTTCTATGCCGTTAACAGTGCCAGTCTCAGAAACTCACAGGGGAGGCTCGACTCCATCCTATGAGTCGGTCACCATGATTCAAATGACTGAGTCAGGATTGCCTCGATGGCTGTAAATTTCAGTGCTTGCGGTATGCCAGGCAATGTGTGAGAATTGGGCACACACTGGGACATTCACTTGGCAGGTGCGTATCGAGCATCTTCTGAATACTGGGCATTTTTCTAGGTGTGGAAACAGTGGGGAACAATGCAGATCAACCCTCTGACTGGGAATTACCCAGGAAGCTCGATGCCAAACAAACACACGTGTCGCACAGTGCCCTGCTAACTGCTATGAATACCTAGTCCGCAGGCGAAGAGGATAAAGAGAGATGGTGTGTGGGGATGTTGTGTCAAAGGATAGGCTGGGGCCTTAGGAAGTTAGGATGAAGACCTTGTCTCTGCTCTTGAGTTTCTCATTGGTCAGAGATTCAAATGGACAAGCATCTGTCATGCAGCTCTTCTCTGCAGCATTTGGGCTTCTCTCGAAGAATCCATCCATCGGGCTCTGTTCTAATAATCCTTATGCACTGTCACTACAGTGATGTTCTGCTAATGAAAAGCTGAACACCATTCGCTGCTCTTCAAAGTCCTTTTTAAATGATTCTGCAAGCGTTTCAATCCAGATCCAAACCACCAGCATAGCATTCATGGGCCACTATGATGCTGCTCAGTTCCCACGCACTCCTCCTATTATGGACTAAAGTCACGTCTGAGTTTAGACACCGAGTAGCAGGCTTTCTCCATAGCCTTGGACTTTCTCCAGGCTGCTCTTTGTCCTGGAACACCCCGTGACCTTGAGCTCACTCTTTCTGAGCTTTCAAATCTCAGATTAAGCATCATGTCCTTTAGGCAGACCCCTTTTTGTTATCACAATTGGGTGGGGGGCACAGTGATAATAATAACAATATCTGTTTCATAGGTTGTGTGAAGATTAAACAAGCTAAGACAAAACACTTAAAGCAATGCTTGGCAGATGATAAGCATTCAATAAATGTTAGTTGCTATTAGATATTAATTATTGATCTGTTCTCTGACTCACAAACTCAGATGTCTTCAGAGCTCAGATA